TATATATATGGACACTAATAATTGATCCCAGGTAATTAGGAACATATTTTCCAGTGAATGCATCCGTCTATTGATAAAATGCATCAGATGAAAGAAAAAACCGCTGCGGCTTGAATCGACTATCAGTTCCTGTGCAAGGTTTTTCAAATTAGCTTCTGTGATAAATAACTTATCTCTTAGACCAGTGCAGGTCAACTTAACTAATGTTTCATGTTTCACTTGAATCAGTTAGACTCTAGTTTCCCTCCAAAGCATAAAAACGCTGAAGGTTTTAGTGAATTTTCCACCTGACCATTTAGTCAATATCAGCAGATCGTTCCTCGTGCCAGCTCTTCTCAACCACTGGCGTCATACAATGAGGGCGACGAGAAACCTCCCGTTTGGTCCTCATAACAAAAGGCCCTGCAGTGGGTGTTTGGCTTGTAATAAAAACATGCTACTCCTCTTCCACCACTTCATGTAGTAACGAACTCCACCACATAGTTGCTTTTTGTGTGATGGACTAACGGTATACTCCTTTGTGCTTATTGAGCGTTTATGTAGTAGTGGGTAGCAAGATGCAGAAAAGGGAAGGTTGCGACTTTTGTAATAATTGCAATATTCTCCGTCTGAGTTCAAGAAGACTAAGCGTGAGCTGATTGAGGAGTGATGACTTTTAAGTATCACCGCTTTGACCGATTGTATTGTATTGTAATTATTCGTGCAGGCAACTATGCTAACATTTCAGTCAAGAAATGTGTTCACCGTTAACAGTGGGATGAAAATAAAAGTCATTCAAAACTGATAAAACATGAAGGTCATCTTTTTAGGTTTAAAATTATTTCGCTTTGCATCTTTATCTATCTATATTTTTACACTCGTCTGAGGACAGACTGTGTGCCAAGCGAATCATGGTCTTTATAAAAAAGAAAAAACGTTCCGTGATTGGCATGTGGGCTGAGTACTGCCAGATTGTCCAGGCCAAGGCAGGTAAATTTTCTTGAATCCACAATCGAAGCCTTAGGTTAGCCAAAGACTGCCCCACAAGGCAGCTGGGCGGTGTGAAAACCGTAACCCGTTGGGGGCCGGTGTCCAGTTCATCCGATCACACGCCTTCCGGGGGTGCCCAATACACATTGGTGTCCAATTGAGCCGGTGACCACTGCCACAACTGGAAAGGTATGTGGTTCGTACACCTCATGGTTGGTTTGGAATTAGGGTTTTTAGCCAACACTAGGTAAACTGCCAGTGGTCCACCAACCGGGTTATATCCCCGGATGTCGGCTTTTCGTCCTCTCAATTTGGTGGAAAAACACCGCCACGAGAGGGCAGTGAGTAGGGCTTTCTCAGCAGAGGCTATTTGAGGCGCCTGGTCGTATGGGAGCATTTCGCGAGATGCAAGGGCAGGGTGACCAGCCGCAACCCTAGACACCCACCCCCGAACATACTGAGGTGTTTGCATCTTTATCAGTTAGGCTAGGGTACCGTTGAATTTCGGTAAATGTTTGTGCGGGAAGGTGAACAGCTATAATTGGATCGGGATTGAGCAAATAACTGTGGTCGTTGAGTATCTTATGGGTTAACTTCACACGAAGTAATATGAAAATTGCACAATTTAGTGACAAGTGTTTACGGGAAGATGAGAAACACAACTGGTAGTTACCAAACTGCGACGAAGTGTAATGAAATCCTTTTTAAGTAGTCCAGGGAAAATAACGGCGAACAATAAAGTATGCCAGGAAAACCGCCTTTATAAACAAAAGAACATATAATTGCATGCTTCACTCTAAATTGTCGTAGCATTATTATCTGTAAGGATAAGCGGCGCAGCCTACTAACAGGCTAGAATGAAAGAACCACCGTAGATTGCTCTCTATGGTGACTCCTAAGGAGTTGGTGGTATATGTTCTGGTGATGGATGCGGAATTGACGATTGAGGGTTTCAAGGGATACTCTGATCAAAAAAGACTAAAAACGTGTTCGAAGTTTCTAAAGAAGCTTGCAACTGGATTGGTTCAAAAATAATTGCATGTGTACTAAACTGACCAATGATAAAAACTTTTTAAGGTACAAATTAACTGACCATCATCGATGCTAAACCCCTTAATTCCTGTTTTGACAGGACAAACACTGCTAGTTGATATTAGTCCTCCATCTGAAATGGCGTTTACCCGAATAGTAAGTCATCTCAGAAGGTACAACTCCTCCAGCCCGGACTATCCCCATCGGCTTTTAAAGATGGAGACCCAACCTTGCTCATGCTTCTTACATTCCAATTTCCCCTCTGGTCTTATTCAAATGCGCAACCAAAAAACAGCAACGATTTGAACTTTCCGAATTTCACAGTTGCTCATACTAGTATAGCTACTCTAAACTCCAGACCTCAGTAAGCGTGTGTGTGTGTGGGGATATAAAGAAGACTAGGAGCACCAATGTGCCTCTTAATGAACTATTGGTGGATCTCATCGAAAACGTTAGCAAAATTTTTAATGGTTTACCCCTGATAATAGGTCTTTCCTCTCGTATTAGTCGCAAAAGTGAAAGGAGTGCCCTAAGGTGTGTCACCAACACTGAGTTAAGGGTTTTACCGCGAGATTTCATTTGCCCCGAACAAAAAAGTATCGTGGGTCCTCGGATTAAACACACCAATAGACTTAAAACTTACAGATGGTCAAATCATCAATTAAGTTTGGTGAAGTCCTCTTGCAGCTGAAGGTTTCGGATGGTCCACTTAGGCCAAACAAGGTCGGTTACTTCAATGTCTGTGTTGAGTTATTAGTGTCTACCAGAAGCAGCGAGGGTCTTAGGACTGCACATCACTTTATTCCACTCTTATTCAAGATGCTTCTTTGTGCTTATCGTAGTATGCAATGGTGATGTATGAGTTTCTGGCGCACTACTTAATTTGATTCATTTTTAATCTTGATTACAGGGGTTTGTTCATTACTATCCACGACAAAGGTAACATCAAATCCATCCTACAAAATTGGCCGGAGAAAGACATTCGAGTAGGTTCAAAGTTTTATACCGTCTCCCGTCGCTAAACCAATTGCTTAATGTTCTATTCCTGCTATTCTCTTTTAACCCATGGCATATACATTTCTTCGTGCATTGTTTTATTTTATCTATCCTCTTCTAACCAGGCAATCGTGGTCACGGATGGTGAACGTATCCTCGGTTTGGGAGACCAAGGTGCCTTTGGCATGGGCATTCCAGTTGGCAAATTGTCACTGTATACTGGACTGGCTGGTATCCCGCCACAACATTGCTTGCCCATCACTTTGGATGTGGGCACAAACAGTGAGGTATGTTTCGCGCATTTCAGCAATCCACCGCAGAGGTTTAAGGGATATAATACCGAAAACGTAAAAAAAGACCTGATTATTTATACAGATATACCATTTTTTAGCTTTCAGTCGGGCTCATGTCTAGAGCAATTGATTACAGCTTTGACGGCAGAGGGAAGAATGCCCGTGTAAGCCCCATCTACACTGGGTCAAACAGCCGATCACATGTAGTCGTCCCTCAATTCCTGAAGATACTAGTCGCCTCTTAAAAGCAGCGCCATTCACCGTCATTGTCACTAGAAGGGAATTCCATCGGGTTTTCTAGACCTCGAGAGTCGGAAGAACAAAGGAAAAGCAACGTGAGTATCCCTGCGTGCTTTACTCTGTCCGCTAAAGGAGGTGATTCTGAAGCTCTGGGTCCATTTCAATTCTCAGGATCTTCCTCAAGATGAAGTGCGATAATAGGGGGAGTGAAATAGATGTCCATTAGCTTTTATTGAATCAATAATATAGTTGTATTGGACTTGATCATATAGTTTTACGTTTCCGAATGTGACCTAATGAAAGGTTAATTATGTTAAGACGTTTCCACTACGAAAAACGTTGACTAGCTATTGTATACGACACATCTGCTAATACCGCGATTGTAATCTGTCAACCACACACATTTTACTTTCCTAATTCTAGACCCTTCTAAACAGTCCGCTGTACTTCGGATTGAAACAGAAACGTGTCACAGGACAAGAATACGACGACCTGATTGACGAGTTTATGGAGGCTTGTGTTTCAGTGTGAGTATTCGTTGTGAATAAGTTGACCAAAAGAGTATTTGCATTCCGACATAGTTGTGTTTATCTCTTTTTACCAAGAGAAGATTAACTTTTCGAACTAATCCATTCTGAGTATCATTGGTGACCACATAGAATTATGCAATTGCTGTCATCGTCACAAGTCAGGAAAAGATGTAACAAAACTTTAGGGAATATAAACCTTTTTCTTTTTACAAAGATTATTGTGCCGTGATTTGTTTAACACAGTCTGAACTTAGACATGTGTACCAATTTATGTATACGTGTAGCTGGTAGTCTTTATAATTATGACATTGAAAAGTGATCACCTTCCTGTCCCTCGATGTGATCATCCACAGATGTTTCAACATTCCGCTTGTCAATCCGGTGACCCACCTTTTACAACCACTTTTACAGGATATCGTACAGAATGCTCATACTGGTTAGGGTACGAATTACAAGGGGAATTTCAGTTGTTCTAACGTGATTTGTTAGCTCATGAGTTGATACATACTGCGGCTTTGCTTGAGGACGCAGTAGATGATCATAAAATCCTCATATCATAGCACCCGTTGATTCAACTCTACTCAAAGCGAGAGAAGAACTATATAAACCTGACGCTTGAATTTAAAGTATTGTGACCGCTTGTTCAATAGTGATTCACTTTTCGCTCTCATTAATTTCCTCGCACAAATACTTTTCTGTTTTTCCGCAATCTGTCCATCTTTTCGTCCCTCAACCAGACACGATTTTAGTTTATCAGACCATTAACCATTAACTTTTGTCCGGTTGTTTCCGTTATTATCTTCCTGATATCTGTTTAGATAACGGAAGTATGGAGAGGACTAGAATGGTAGACGCAGTGTCCCTGGACAATTGAAGGGTTCAGGTACAATAGGGTTGCAAAGAGTTTGAGAATGTACACGAATGCCTCTGTTTATGATACTCAACCATCTTATTCAGTGTCTAACCAGCGGTTACGCTGATCCCGACGTCTCGATTCGGGAAGCCTTAGGTAACCTACATGTACAGTCTCCGCGTCAGTCTTTACACCCCAATACCAGATTCTAATTTGATCGTGATTAACATTTCCCCACCTATTACGTGTCTCAGAAAACATTGCACGCCAAGGCAGTTTATTTGGTGACATGCAGAATGTGTGCCTCAACCAACGAAATCCATGAAGGTCGAGCTTTTCCTTCCGCGTGAAACTCCCCTTATTTTTGTTATTGCTTGTCTCAACAAGTACAAGTCCCAGTTACGTAGAACAGAACTGGCCGAAATGCTGTAGCATACAACCGATCTTTCCGGATCTCACAACGGTGCCAGAGATATCTGAAGTTGGCAAATGTTCATCGAGTCCCAGTTCTGTGGTAGCCTTGTACACTTTGAAAGAGCCACACGCAAGCTAAACATGGCTATACTGCACCAGCCAGAAACGATTTGAGTTTTCCTGGATATTCGCTAAGCGGTACAATGTTACCTGCATACTCCAGGTCAAATTGTATGCCACAGATGCCGCTGTCCTTGCACGAAAATTTAGCTGTTTTCAGAAGCGAATCTACTGCGAGATTGAACAGCAAAGAGCAACCCTACCGAACATCGCTTTTTGTGATGAACCCATAGTGAAAAACGGTTTAACTAAATGTGAATCAGTAAGCCGTCTCATTCCTTAATTGCCTCGCTTACGCTTACTTTCTTTGACCAAGAACTCCTATTTAGACAAAAAGATTGCTATTGTATCACACTTATCGCGGTCATTCTCGAGGTTCTTGCCGTGCCGGCGTTTCAGGGTTTTGCGCGCTGTCAGGTGGAATGGTTCTGCAAGCTTCCAGCAGAGCAGGCGAAGTCGAAAAATCCATCATCTGTGCTTTGGATTGTGTCAAAATCGATTGTTTTGATCAACATTTGAATAACTTCCTTGATTAGCTTTCAGTGTTGATTGGGTTCTTTGTTGGATAATTGGACTGAGGCACTGGCAGATCCGTTTCGCTTAGATCGTGATGTGGGCATTTGTTGCTGTCAGGTTTGTCTCGATTGTTTATCAGGCATAGGAAAAATCTGTTACGTAGAGGAGTTTAGTGTTGATCATCGAGAGCTGCATTCTTCAATGGATCCCCACGCAAGGCAAGTGATGCTAGTGTGGTCGATTTGAGTTCGTCGATGAGGGGTTTTTCATAGAAGTAGGTGTTGTTACTTTTGCTGGAGATGTTGGTGCTTGATAAGAACAATCCGCGGTTTGCGCAACATTGAAGTAGGCAGTCGTTGTCTGTCCGTTCAAGGTTGCATGTGGGCTACCTTCAGTTTCAGTTTCAGTTTTTACAACCATTAACCATGCACCTTCGTGCGCCGATTTTGGTTGCTGTCTTTTGGTTGCCCATTTGGATAAAAGAGCGAAATGAAGATTGGAAAGTCGAAGCACATTCAAGCGGAAGATGGGGAATACATATAGAGTGGTGTCAGAAAAATAACGAGTGGATGCACGAGCGCCACTGTTTGCGACACCCAGCCATATCACTGAGTGGCTAACCATCGGTGACCATCATCCCGAGGTCCCCAGCCAGGGAGCCTAACAGGACTATCACTCAGTGTAGCTAACCATCGGTGACCATCATCCCGAGGTCCCCAGCCACCCTGCCATATCACTCAGTGTAGCTAACCAACGGTGACCATCATCCCGAGATCCCCAGCCAGGGAGTCTAACGGGGCGTATGTGACCTAGCCTCCTGGTTAGGGTTTTCATACCCTCGTGCCAGGTCTTAGCTTGACCACCCTTGGCTTTACCTGCTTAGGGTTTTCATACCCTCGTGCCAGGTCTTAACTTGACCACCCTTGGCTTTTTCTACTCTGTATCTTCTTCGGACCATCATCCCGAGGTCCCCAGCCAGGGAGCCTAACAAGACCTATGTGACCCAGTTTCCTGGTGAGGTCCCCAGCCAGGGAGCCTAACGGGGCCTATGTGACCTAGTCTCCTGGTTAGGGTTTCAGGTCTTAGCTTGACCGCCCTTCGTTTTTTTCCAATCGCTACATCGTTCGCCGTGGCAACCTATCTGGTGACATGCGTAGCACATGTCCC